TTATTAAATTAAATTTATATTATTAAATTTTTTAAGGGCTTCTGATATCCCTCTCAGCAGTTATACATACAATTCTAATCAAACCACTCAAATCCACCCATTTTTATAGCAAAAGAAATATGGGGCCTGTATCACAATCTCCTTTCTGCCATCTTGCCTGTTTTGACCCTGCCCCTACAGATGCTGCTGGCATTCTCTTTAACTTCCAGAGTCTGAAATAAATACATCCTTGTAAAGAAGCAGGCAGAAGATAGACTCTTTCCAGTCACTCAAACTGCTTGTTATTCAACTATTTAAAAAATTATAAAAGACAACTGGGATGAGGCCCTTGGAGGCAAACAACAGCTTCATTTTATTTGGAACTTCCCATCATAATGATATTAATTAATTAAGTTGTTTAATGAATGCATGATCTTAATAATCATCTGAATAACTTTTCTTGCCATGTTGCAGTTAAAAACCAAGAAAGGCCACCCCCAAAAATAACATGCCTCTTTCCAGCTGGACCTTTATCTGCAAATTTTAATAGAAGTGGTTTAAAGCTGTGCTGTTTGTGAAGTTGTAGTCCGGAGTTTATGAATTAGCTCCTTTGGAAATTCCTCCCAGGTGCCTAAATGTAAGAATGTGCTTACATGCTTAGCTGGGTTCAACCAGCTGATCTTCTTTGCTTTTATAAGTATAGCTAGGATACTTATGTTTGAAATAATCACAACAGTCAGTACCTGCCTCTGTTCAGAAGGTTTCATGAAAATCATTCCTGTATATTTAGCCATTCCTTGGCATTTTATATGTGGTGGAACAAGTTGTTTAGAAATGGCATCTAGTAAGCCATAGTTCACTGTATCGCTGGGCTCTGCTTTAGCTGTGAGGTGAGAAGACATAGCTCTCTGCAGCTCTTTAAAGCAGCTGCTCCTTTTCAGAATCACCTTCAAATCTGAGCACCACAGTCCAAGGTTGCAGGATCAGATGGGCTGGGGATCAGATTGCTTCCCTCCAAATAGAGACGTGTTCAGGGGCGCCTGCAGGGAGGCGGACGCCAAAATGTGCATTGCATCGTCACAAAGCAAATTCCATCCCTGCTGGATGTTTGTTGTGATGTTCATAAGGGGCAGAGCTTATGTCATGATGTCGCAATGCACATTTTGTCACTCTGATGAAAGCTTCACATACCGGGGATGGCTTTGACTCTCTCCCTTTCTACGTGTCCGGTGTGAAGCGCGCGCTTGCTGTATTTATGGCTCCTTGCACTCGCTGCAGAGCTATCGATGTGTGCATGTGTGTGTGTGACATCATGTGTGAAAATTTCTAGGAATACTGTCCTGGCTTCTTGGCTGTGCAGTGCAAATATCGTTCTGTAAAGCAGAAGACTTTGCATATAACCGTCTTCTTCTCAAGTGAGAAAATTTAGCGTACCATCTTGTGCATGTTAACTCCAAAGCAAGTCCTGTTGAAATCAATGTTTGTGCACAGATATGTATGTACCGGAAGGTAGCCTTTAATGAAATCCTGTGTGCCCACTTTTATTTGGAAAAAGTTGCAATGAGTTGTCTTATATCAAGTCACAAGGTTGATCCAGGTATTCCAGGTTGACTAAGACCTGTGTGGTGTGCCAAGCTATGATTTATGGCTTCAGATGGATTAGGATTTACTCAATAAACACTAAGCCATCATGGGTTGTTTTGGCTTCACAGGTAGGGGCATCTTGAACATTGTGGTTTGGGTAAAGCTGTAGAGAGTAAGGGAGATGACCTTGATGGAAGTATGCAAGAATTGTTACCTAGGTGAAAAGGGCTAAAACGTTTTTTTAAGTCATGGAAAATATTCAGAAATGGCTTGGACAGACACTACTCTGATTCGCTGGAGCAGTGTTTCTCAACCTTGGCAACTTTAAGACGGGTGTACTTCAACAACCAGAATTCCCCAGCCAGCCATGCTGGCTGGGGAATTCTGGT